CAATTATAGAAGCTGAAAAATGTTCAAACAAGTGCTTGGTATAACTTATAAATACCATAATGTACTAAGGAAAACGAAGAGATGTTTTTCATCTAAAATTACTAAAATATTGTCAATAACGAATGCAATACATGTAGTTCACTGGCTGAGGGAACAATAATGTTTATTTACTTTGCTCGTTTGGTACCCTGCGTGATAGTTCGATTGGTATTTCTGGCTTCACTCTTGGCGGGACTCTTATTTTAACATTGACTCTGCGGAAAACAAGATCGACGGAAAACAAATCAGGGAAAAAAAATCTTGTATTCCATGCTGAGCACCAATGCTACCGACGCCAGGGAGGCAGCTCCCACACCTGGACCCTACCTATCGACCCATCAATTCATGAACAGGGGACCAACGGCTTTACTTCCCTTCCGAAGGAAGGCGTGATCAGAGATGTTATGCCTCAAAACATCCCGGCGGCGCCTACTGGTATTGAACCCAGGCCTGCTGGGGTGAGAAGTTATCACGCTTACCACTATACCACCGGCGCCGCTGAATACAAGAATGTGTTACCAAAATATTTATCATTCTCCAAATTGTCTTGGAGATATTTTACAGATTAATCGAAGTCTTGTTCCATGTCCACTTAGAGTTTTTGAGCATTTTATACTTCACGGAGACTAATACCACCATCATTTAAAATTATTAATAGTGTTTAAAATAATATTCTTGGATTATCCAAGTCATCCCGGATATCTGATCTTAACCTGATTCGACTTAATGATAAAATGAGTAAAACTTCGAGAAGACCCATAATATCATTGGTTTGGTTTATTAGGTTTTCCAAAATTATAGTGACTTTAACACTCTTGGATCATGATCGTGCCTTATCAGGGTGAGACTTTGGCGTGAGAGGTATGGATTCAGATCTTTATATTTTACAGACTAACCTCATGATTTTTTTTTTAATTCGTTGATTGTGTTCGGTGTTTTACATTTGCATGCCAAGCATGATCAGGCATGCAAAAAGTTTGACAACGCATGAATCTGCTTCTCTACCTTCGAGTAGCTTCGTTACAGGATGTCTCACTCAGCCTTTATACGGTGAATGAGAACGACCCAAATTTGAGTTTAGTTCACTCATAATCGCCAAAAGTGCAGGATCTCAGCGATGAGTAAATTTGCCTCATGTTTTCCCAGTTTTTTCCAGGATTTTCCAGGGAAAAGTTCCCGAATTTGAGAAAAGTAAAGATTGGATTCACTCAGTCTATTAGTACTACTCCGAGACTGAATAAAATTTTCGTCAATTTCCTCATTTTCCGGCAGATTTTTTAGGTTTTCCACAGGAAACCATGAGACAAATTTTACTCATCGCTGAGTTCCTGCACTTTTGGCGATTATGAGTGAACTAAACTCAAATTTGGGTCGTTCTCATTCGCCGTGTAAACTAGAACTGCTTCACTCTGAAAACGTAGCAAAATAATTCAAACACTTTGCGATTGCGAGTGAGGGAAAAAATAGAGTTTTTGTATTTTTTGATACTTTACCACAGTGAAAGACATTATATGAAAGCTGTAAACAGATGTGTAAACAAGAGAATATAATGGTGTATGTGATATAAAGTTGATTGATTCCAATTAACATTGAATGTATAAAAGATTCTGCTTTTTCTTCTTCGCATTTCAAGCTTATTGGTTTATCGCAAATTAGCTTATTGCGTGCTCTCAACTTAGTGTTCTAGTAGCGGCGCCGGTGGTGTAGTGGTAAGCGTGATTACTTCTCACCCCAGCAGGTCTGGTTTGTTCTGAGTTAAGGCCGGCGCACAATGCATACGTTTTCGGGTTTTTTGACAGATAATGCATGGGCTAACTGTCAAAAAACCTAAAAACGTATCTATTGTGTTTGCCTAATGTTTTTTGTTATTGATTCAAAAATATTGTATCACTATTCCAACAAAACATTTTTGAATCAATCAACAAAATGATTTTTAGAATCAACAAACGAATTATCGACTCAACAACCGGTTTGTTGATTCAAAAATATTTTTCGTTGAATTAATCGAATAATGTATTTGAATCAATACCAAAAACATATTAGGCCCTGAGTCAAAAGTATATCCATTTAAATTTAAAAATCATTTCTCTGCGTGTATATATGATCTTTCCCGCTGCAATTTGGGTTTTCCTGCATTTTCCCCGATTTTTTCCCGGGAAATCCGAATATATGTTATTTTCTCGTATTTCCAGGTTTCCCGGCTGAATGGATGGACACTGAATTTATTTATTCGTTTCCAAGAAGTAATTGATAGATTTTAATAGTTCGTATATTATTCTAAGGAATGTCTTGTTTTGCATAATCATGTTATCTCAGTAAATTTGTAACCTGGATTATGTTCATAGCTACACATAAATGGGCACTGAATGCGGCAGCAAGGGTTCATCTTAACAAATCGAACACAAGGGTGTCTTCATGCAATAGAATGCATAGCAATTCCATCGGAAAGGAAGTAAAGCCGTTGGTCCACGGTCCATGAGTTGATGGGTCGATAGGTAGGGTCCAGATATTGGAGCTGCCTCCCTGGCGTCGGTAGCATTAGTACTCCGTACGGAAAACAAGATCGACGGAAAACAAATCAAGGAAAAAAATCATATCAATAAATAAGATGTGGATGTAACCAAAACAATCACGAAAAATCATTTTTTTACAGAATTATTTGAAAATGTGTCCTTGAAATGGTTGGAATGGAGTATCCAAATAATTAAACTTAAAAGTTAGATGAATGTCGTTTTTGTTTTTGCGGTGTAGTACCGGTGTAGTGTAAGCAGGAATAAGCGTGAGTCTTTGACAGCTCAACATTATTTGTTTGTAAACAAAGGTGCATCCTATACCTACACCCTAAATTATTTCGGTGTACGGCAGTGTAGCACCGGTGTAGCTACACCGCAAAAACGAAAACGGCATTAGTGCAGCAGCTATTCTGTTTTTTAATTCGATTTTGAAACGTCGGTGACTCCAGGGGTGTGTGCGGTTCGTTTGGAGACTACTGGGTAATCCGAACACCAACGACACCAGTCTTTTGGAGCTACGAAGAGATAAATCAATAGGGCTTTATAGTCGTTGTCACTTTGCCCTTTCCCAGGAGCTGTCAAATGATAGCTCAAATAGAGAAGAAGAAGAAGATTCTGTTTCAAATTTACACCGGATCCAAGGTGGTGGCTGTCAAATACGAACAATCGTCGCCTACCTCGCATAACTGGTTCCAAACGTAAACAAGCCATAAGAAACCTACAGGGTTTGTTTACGTTTGGAACCAATTTCATACAAGAATGATCAGTAGGCTGATTTGACAGTACGTCTCACACCAGATCCAAGTAGCCTCAACAACCCTGTCTTTTGGCAAATATCTATTGTACATATTTTAAACAAGTCAATTAATTGTATCAGTTGTCCCACAGCTGTCTACAGCAGCAGTCGATTTTTTATTTCGTTGTGAACCACACGATAGCCTGATTTCGAGACTCGCTATTATATAGTTGCTCTTTGTTCGTTGCTAGCAGTTCGGTGCCTTTTTTTGCTACGGTGCAAGATGTGTGAAGCAAAAAACACCATCAAGTTTAGCTTCAGCCATTGTGATGCCAAACCAAACATCGGAGAGATAGTAAATTTCGCCAAAGCACTCGACGCTGATCCGGCTGAAATGGAAGCTGTTTATCGCATTGGTGAGGAAAGGGGAGTCTACATGAAGTTCAAATCAGAGGAAGCGATGCTCCATGCTCTGACATTCAATTCGGAGGATTTAATCTTCCATTATGCGAATGGAACGACGGCAAAGGTACGCATGTCGCATGCTGGTGAACTTATTCAATATGTGCGTGTGTATGACTTGCCACCAGAGGTACCCGACAACGAGCTGGATAAAGTGCTGGGGAAATATGGGAAAATTAAACGCATCATCCGGGAGAAATTTCCAACTGATCTGTGTTTTGAGGTATATACAGGGATACGCGGTGTATATATGGATGTGAAGAAGGAAATCCCCACGTCATTACATTTCTTCAATCGCAAAGGAAATATTTTTTATGATGGCAACAAAGATAAATGTTTTCTGTGCAAGGCGGACGGACACCGGAAGCTTTCCTGTCCCAAGCGGAAGACTCGGAAGGAACCGGAGAAGCAACTGAAGGAAAAAGGAAAGCAAAGTGAAAGAAAACAAAACAGCAGCAGTACGTATGCTGGTGTAGTGGTGGAAGGTGCGTCGTTTGTCATTAGCGATCAGGAAACGGACACGGGGTTGGAGATGTTGAATGAAGATAACGAAATGGACGTGACTACCCCGACGACCGACGAGAGTAGCGGAGAGCATGCAACGGGAAACGATGTTCAGAAACAGCAGCAGCGATCACGATTTGGGTTCAATGAAAATGAGGAACAAATTCGGGAAAGAAAGAAGTTGCATGCATGGGAGAAGATCGCTTTGTCGCCGCTTCGATCGCCACCCAGAAAAATCATATGATAAAATATATTTGTGTATTTTTTTTTGTATTTTGAGTACCATAATTGGTATTCTATGTTACTCGGCTCCGCTAAGTTATTTTTTATAACATTTGAGCCTGCCAAATAAACGAAATGAAAAAAAAAAAAAAAATTAATTGTATGAAGTCTGTTCTGCCGCTATTCGCATAACAGTCCCATGTAGATAAGAAATGAATAGGAAATGGGACTGTTATGCGAATAGCGGCAATGTATACATGATCACTTGTTTGTATAAATACAGACATGTGGGGTGGCACTCTTGCCCCTAGTCTCCCTAATGAAACACGCCAGGCTACGGATGCCGAAAGATCGACTTCGTATACGTTGGCCTATCGGCTATCGAGTCTAGTGGAAAATACAATCGGTGTTGATTCAACCCTTCAAGTACGTAAGTAAGTAGAAATTAAGTAAATTTACTGTGTAGGTATTTTTGCAGACACACACCTCTGAGATAATAAACTTAGCAGGAACTTTTTACTAACCTGGTAAAGATAAGCACACGAGAGGTCAATCAAGCCTTTTGGTTTAGTTTTCTTCGGATTATCGTAGAAGCATAGATGGGTTTCCGAACCTTCTACTAGCAAGGCAAAATACAGTTGCTTCCACTTGGCGGTTTTATCAGATTTCTTCAGCAGATATCCATGATGCTTAATGCCCTTGGTTTTCTTTAGAATGTTTTGATCACGGCACTCACGTAAGGTAGCATAGATTTTCTCCGCAGCACTGGCAACATTAGACGGCGGATGATACTCCGGTTGGCTTCCATTGATAACAGCATGCATCAATGTATGTCCTTCTACGATTTGTTCTTTACGATAACGGTTGATAACCGCATCCAAACATTCGAAAGTCCTCCCACCCATTAAATAACGAACGCCCTTCTTTTCGATGCGGAAACGTTGTATCTGATTGTTAATGTGGAAGAACAAGGAGTAATCACCTGGTGAATTGTCACTTGGCCGCACTAGGAAACTTCCAGGCCCAGCTTTAACCAGCATATCGACGGCTTCATTCTTTGAACAGGTTGGATGAAACCAGGAAAATACCGTATTTGGATCAATGCTTGGATCGAGATCTTCGACCAACTCACGAAAGATCATTCCTTGTTCACCGGTACGATGCGCTGTAACCCACAGCCAATTATCACCCATATCGTTGTGCACAAAGAAGATATCACCCTTTTGGAAGGTGAGTTCGTCTGTATCCGGCATTTTAGTGTAAGGAAGAATGGCTACAACTCGCTTCTTGTCGTTAACTGGTTCCGGTGGAGGCACTGGACATACAAGTCGCTCCCGTTTCAGCAAATCGCTGCACGACGTGTAATAGCCGACCAAATCGCTCAGCGAAAAGAATTGTCGTCCTCCGATGTAGAAATCACCACAGACCGCAGTAATACGAAAATGATTTATACCAGTCCGTCCGTAGTAACTCAGCACGTACGATCCTGGTTTTCTATCACTTTCTCTGACTGAAAAAATAAATTTCATTGTATTTTAGCGTGGAAATCTCTCGACAGAGACGTAGTAACTGGTTTGAATTGTGTAGTTGCTACATACCTAAATAGCTTCCAAGTCTGGAGGCAGATTTCAATCGTTGTTCTGCACTAAATCTATCTAGCCGGCCATGGTACCACTCGCTCTCGGGAGGAGCAGTAATTGCTGGACGATCTCCTGAAATGTATAAACATCCTTGAAAACACTTAATCATTTGTCAAGGTAAATTCCTACCATTGAACGCCACGGGACCGTCAAATTCATCCTGATCCAATTCTTGAGCGATGTCACCGAGATCGATTCCTCCGCCGTCCTCGGAGCCGGTGGATGGAGATCCAAGCTTATCCCGCTGGAATCCTCCCAGTGCACCGCTTCCACTCATTCGCATCATATCTGCCATGATTACTTTCTTTGTTTTTCGTTCCTGCCTTTCTTCCTGTCCCCTTCGATCACTCTTGGCTCCTCGTCACAATACGCCAACGACTACCCTCTGCTGGGGGTAGCTATCAGAGAATGTGTTAAGTTCACTGGAATTGATTAAGTACCAAAACAAAGTCAACATTTTTTTTATCGTAGATTATAAGTAGCTAATATCGAACATAAACCAGACAACACCGAAATTAAATTGGATTTCCAATGTTGACTGAAAATGATAAAAAATGTCAATACAGTACGACTCGTAATAAATCCTGAAATGTCCACCTCATCTGTATACTTAACCACTAACCTGTACTGTCCCGTTGTGCTCTTATACTTCTACACCATGTTTGAAACATTAATTGTGTATTTTCTGGCGAAAAATTTCCATATTCCACTATTTTTACTCTACTGCAAAACCATGGATGATTAATCGGAAAAAAATACTGGAAGTTAAGAAAAAGGAGAAAAACGTCGGAGGCTCTTGAGTCACTGTCAATTTGACCGAATAGACATACGTTCGCAACTGCTTTACCGATACTAAACGAAGAATGATGTCGAATTGACTGCTTTGCAATTGGAAATCTAAAATACTGTTCACACCTGAGTGGTGCGGAGTAAAGCCCTACAGTAAAAGTAAGGACGTCTGTCAAAAGTTGTTCCAATCGAACCGTCAAAATGCACCACTTTGCTCGATTTTGGAACAGCTTTTTTCAGTTTTGTGGTGACAGTCGTCCATACTTTAACTAGAGGGCTTTAGTGCGGAGTCGATCGTATTTTGGCGAGGGGTTTTACCAACCGCCCTAATAAAAAATACCATAAACGAACGATAACCCAAATAATAGAACTATTCCACAAATGGTTTGGATGGTACCCGAACACGCCATTAAACAAAATAACCATAACAATTTTATTAGGGCGGTCAGCACTCGTGTTTAATTCAGTGACCGTGGGGACGTAATTTGTGATTAGCCCCGGTCCCTTTCAAATTATATAATTATTTATGTGCACATTCATCTAGTGATGGCCGATTTTCTTTCGAATAATCGATTAACGAACCAAAAAGTAAAATATTTGTAACCGATTATATCATGCCGATTAGGAATTAGCATTAACTTCTCCAGAGGATCATCACCCATCGTTTCACACATGTGCTGCACTCTCATTGGTGGAAAAATGACAGCACAGCGAATAAAAAATAATCGATTAGTTCTCGCGTAACATTTGAAAAGGGCCTATCCTCGTTGATCGATTCTCTTCATCGACTTTCTCTTTGGATTACCACGGCAACATAAACGAATTTCTCGCTAAGCTCGCAGCACAGTTCGACATCAGAAGATAATGTTAGCTTCCGCCTGAAACAACACACTCAATGAGAAATTCATTTGCAGTCGGGTTATTCGCGAAAGAGAAAATCGATGAAGAGAATCGATCAACAATGATAGGCCCTTTTCTCGTGTTGCGCGAGAGTTGTTAAGCGAGTAATTAAAAAATGGAACATCTCTGATTTTTGTGTGATTTTAAGCGCAAAATTTCATCTCTACCGAGGGCAGCAAAACCACAAAATTACTATGCATACGGGGGACACTAAAATCGAAAGTTTTTTTTCCGACTGTTTCATCTTAACATTCTTCTTGGTCCCATAGTACTTACACGGTAACCGCAAAATACCCAATAATGAGTACAAAGTAAGCATTTTCAAGAAAAACTGGGACCACCCATTAAATGAGTAAAATGTTACCAATTTATGAGTAATTACAACTACAAAAATAAGTAGTAAGTACTAATTTTTGAGTAACAAATACTCATAAATGGGTAATATTTTTACTCATTTAATGGGTAGTCCCAGTCTCCCTCGAAAATGTGTACTTTGTAGTTAATATCGAGTCTTTTATAGTCATTATTGGGTATTTTGCGGTTACAGCACCGACAAACCGACATGACACTTAATTCTGACTTATGCCCGAGAATTGTAAACGGCTGATTTAAATGTGCAGTGATCCGAACTGTCAAAACCATAGGATTTTTTTTATCTAGATAAAAATAATTTGTCCAGAATAGATCAGAGACGGAACGATTCAAAACTTTTGCATGCGGGTTCATGGCTTAGCTAAATATTTCCCGCGAACACGGAGCCAGATGTCAGTAGTGTGCTTTGGTCAGAAATTTTATTGCTTTTGCTATGGTCATTAATGTCGGTTTGTCACGAAACTAACGATTTTAAATTGGCTCACTACTTGACTAGCCTATTTGTCCCAAACAAACGTACCCCATTCTAGTTGAAATTCTAGTACTAAGCAATGTTTTTTTTGATTCGCTATGAAAGTTTGACAGATAAAATGAGGGGTTATTGGTTTTTCCTATGTTTTGAGGGGTGAATCGATTAGCTTGGGACCGAAGAGAGTACCAGAGCTGAGCCAAAAAGTTGAGCACGTTATTTCGGGACCTTCTAGTCTTAGAGTTACCTCTATGGCATGTTTATAGATGAACTAGCCTAAGGCTAAAAATCTCTTAAATAAAGAAAAAAAAAAAAAAACAAAAACCTCTATGGCAGTAGTGTGTGAACGTCAAACGTAAGGGAATTTACTATGTGCGCCACAGGTGGCTGTACTACGTACTACCACAAACGAAGTTACAGACGACTTTTCTCCGAAGAAATTAATTAAAATAAGGTGGTTCTCTGTAATAGAATTTTAGACCACTTTCCGCCGCTCACCGCCAGGTTTGCTAGTATTTTTGATTTCAATTAATTCAAGTTGGTTTTGTGTGCAATGATCTGGCAACTCGCGTTCTCACTCGCGTTGACGGGGTGCTGTTTTCTCACTCATCGAAGGAAATTTTGATTAGAGTGAGAAAGTAAGGAACAGTCAGCGCGGGAACCGTGTGCGGTACTATAGGTGCGGCAGAAAGAATGTAGTCGACTCCTTCGTTCTCACGGTGTTCTTACGCATGATCCAACGTTACGTCACACTAGATTATGCATAAGAACGTCGTGATAATGAAAGAGCAAAGTTTGTATGTTTGGGAGCCTCTCGCATTCAACTCGCATTCGTCCTCGAGTTCGTGTGGAAGCCATTCAGAGCGGAGGTGGCCAGGAGCGTGGCATTCGAAGTGGAACCGTTCCGACTCCACTGGTCGTTGGATTGGGGGAAGCCTGTGAAATCGCTAGCCGTGAAATGGAGTACGATCACAAATGGATGGAGTTCCTCTCGAAACGCCTGATGGACCAAATCTTCGCATCGCTACCGAAAGTCATCCGCAATGGCGATCCAGTTCATTCTTATCCCGGATGTATCAATCTGTCGTTTGCATACGTTGAGGGTGAATCGCTGTTGATGGCGCTGAAAGACGTTGCCCTCTCGAGTGGGTCGGCTTGCACTTCGGCTTCGCTGGAACCGTCGTATGTGCTGCGTGCGATTGGTGCCGACGAAGATCTGACTCACAGCTCGATTCGCTTTGGCATCGGACGGTTTACCACCATCGAGGAAATCGACTACATAGCTGAAAAGTGCATCAAGCACGTGACTCGACTCCGAGAGATGTCCCCGCTGTGGGAGATGGTCCAGGAAGGTATCGACATCAAGTCGATCCAGTGGTCGCAGCATTAGAGCGGACGGGTCGGGGCATATTTTAAAGAGAGATTTGATTTTGTATGTTCTGCTGTGTATGGTTGAATTCAGTGAGGGTTTTTTTTTTAATTGTTAATCATTGATTGTGTTATTAACACATCCACTTTTGGTAGTAAGTAGGTATTGAGACGAGAGAAAAATAATGTATAGCTTTGCTACATATGCTATTAGAGACAGCAATAAATCTTAGACAGTGAAATCATTGTGAGTATTTCATCATTCACTTGGCGAAAAAACTTCCTATCAGCGATTGTTTGAAATAGTATAAACTTTGTTAGTTCCAGTCAAGGACGGCGTTGTTACGACTACGCTAAATTCGCAAATCTGAGGTATTCGTGGACTGCCATCTCAGATTTGCTTTGGCGCGGATTAGTTCCACTTACACAGCAAAAAAAAAATGTAATATCAATCAACGTAATTCAAGCTGATGTATGAAATAATGATGTAATAGCAAAAAGCAGATACAATATTACATCAATGGATGTAATTTTGTTCGCAAAATCGATGTACATCGTACAATGTGATATTACACAACCGATTGATTGACCTGGTTGCAGCAGTTTCGATGTAATATTCAACAACTTTTTTTGCTGTGTAGGGTTAATTCAACTAAGTTTCGATTCTAACTATTTGAAGACTCCAGGAAAATCTACGTTTAGAAAGACCTTCTATTATTTAATAAAGAAGTAAAGCAGTAAAGTTATTAATAGTTGGTTGGGCAAGCTAAAATATCATTTAAAAAAATGTGTTCAATGTCGATAAGCTTTCCGCAAAATCCGCACTTCAAAAGCTATAAAACCGCACAAAATTTGCGACACTTGTAACAGCCCTGCAGTTGGCTTCGGCGTGCGAGAGAATACCTAATCCACCTAACCGGACCTGAAGAAACGGAAAGGAGCGCGACTGGGATTAGACGGGCTAGCCTTATGAAGCTCTCTACTGACATACAATATAGCATGGTTGCAGCAACCTTATATTTCACCTATTTGTCCCTAAAGATCACTAATTTACACCCGACACCCTAGGTAGGATAATGTCATCGCAAATAACAACAATTCCCGTTGAATACATAGTGCGAAAAATGCTCTTGAATTACCCCAAACCGTCTCATCACAACCTACGCCTCGGTCAGCGTGGCCCGACCGATCGTTTTCGGCATCTTTTTATTGGTGGAATCCTCGAGCTCCTTCGGTTTGTAGTAATGCGGTGCCGCCTCCAGCAGCCACTTGCTTTCGATTTCAATCACCGACCGCATGTACTCCTTCGTCGTAAACACCAGCTCGTGGTACAGCACCCAACGAGGCAGTTCTTCGAACAGTGCCGAATTCGGATGGATCATCACCGTCTGATTGTGCTTGGCCGTTTTGTAGTGACCCCCCCTTGGAGAGCCGAGCGACGTGATAAAAGTACCCGGCTGTAATAGCCTTCCGGATGTTGGTCGTTTCCGGCAGACTGGAAACCATTTCGATTTCGACTCACTGCATTAACCCAACCAGCTGCTCCCGGACATCGCGAGCTCGTTTCATCGAACAGAACTGAATGAAATTTTCGTAACACCACTGAGTGCTGTAGTCCGATTCGGCCCATTGGTTGTAGACCTGCAGCAAACTCAAGTGGTCCCCGTGCATGTGGTTGAAGTTCTTCCGGGCCGTATCTGCGTGGATGATTTTATCTTTCGGTCGGTAGAAGATGGCTCCATTCACCGATAGCATTGCAGCGATGGCCACCACCTCCTCGGAACATTTGTACTTTTCACTAGCAAGCAGCATTTTTGCCATCATGGGATCGACCGGAAATTCCGCCATCCGTCGTCCAAGTTTGGTCAGTTCACCGTGGTGATTCAATGCCCCTAGGGCGTAAAGTTGCTCCAATGCCAAAACCAACGTTTCATGTGGTGGAGGATCGAGGAAATCGAAATGAAGCAAATCGTTGATTCCAAGAGCTTTGAGCATTAGCACGGCATTGCCCAGGTTTATGCGCTGAATTTCCGGGACGGTGTTGTCTTCCAGCTCGTGTTTGTATGCCCAGGCTGTGTACAGACGAAAGCACTTGCCAGGGGCAACGCGCCCTGCTCGACCTGCACGTTGATTGGCAGACGCTTTCGAAATGGGCACGACCATCAGGGTCTCCATCCCGGTTCTGGAGTTAAAATTATTTTGCTTTGCAAAGCCCGGATCGATCACGTACATTATGTTATCGATGGTTAGTGATGTCTCGGCGATGTTGGTGGCCAGTACGACTTTCCGGGCGTTCGGTGGAGTTGGATCGAAAATTTTCGCCTGCATGTCCGACGGCAGATTGGCATAAATGGGAAGGATGAGTAGTTCCTTGAGTTTGGAACCCAACCGCTTGACGCGATCCTGGAGCATCTCCTGGCAGGCTTCGATTTCCTCTTGTCCTGGAACGAAAAAAAAAATGTAATTTTTTAACATCGCATAGAAATAGACCCACTTACCAGTTAAAAATACAAGAATGTCTCCAAGAGGCTGAGTGGCATGAATCTGTAGAACCGACACCACACATGCATCGATATAATCTGCTTCCGGTGCTTTGGTGTAGAAGACATCAACCTAAAGGGTGATACGGTCAAAATTTGGTCAATATCAACTTGACGTATTTCTTTCAATTTTGCATTTAAAAAACCTGAACACCCCTCATTTTGAAGGTGTGTGTGTGTAGAATGTTGCTCCTATTTTGATTTTGGAATTCACTCTTCAGTTGTCAAAATGCCGTCCAAGCAAGAAGAGCAGCGTATCAAAATTTTGCTCGCGCATCGCGAAAATCCGAGCTACTCGCACGCAAAGTTGGCAAAATCGCTAAAAGTTGCCAAATCAACCGTTACAAATGTAATTAAAGTGTTTGGGGAACGTTTGTCGACAGCCAGGAAGTCTGGATCGGGGGGAAATCGAAAACCGGAAGCCGCTGAGACGACAAAGAGAGTTGCCGGTAGTTTCAAGCGAAACCCTAACCTCTCTCTCCGAGATGCCGCAAATAAGCTGGGTGTATCGTCTACAACCGTGCATCGAGCCAAAAAACGAGCCGGACTATCGACTTACAAGAAGGTAGTGACTCCAAATCGCGATGATAAACAAAATACGACGGCCAAAGCGCGATCCCGGAGGCTGTACACAACGATGCTGACGAAGTTTGACTGCGTGGTAATGGACGTCGAAACCTACGTCAAAGCCGACTACAAGCAGCTTCCGGGACAGGAGTTTTATACGGCAAAAGGAAGGGGAATGGTAGCAGATGTTTTCAAGCACATGAAACTGTCAAAGTTCGCAAAGAAATATCTGGTTTGGCAAGCCATCTGTACCTGTGGCTTGAAAAGCAGCATTTTCATAGCTTCCGGGACTGTCAACCAAGAAATTTACGTGAAAGAGTGTTTGAATAAACGTCTGCTGCCTTTCCTGAAGAAACACGGTTGTTCCGTACTGTTTTGGCCGGATTTGGCATCTTGCCATTACGGTAAAAAGGCCATGGAGTGGTACGCCGCCAACAACGTGCAGTTGGTTCCCAAGGACAAGAACCCTCCCAACACGCCAGAGCTCCGCCCAATTGAGAAATACTGGGCTATTGTCAAGCGGAACCTAAAGAAGACCAAAAAACTGCTAAGGGCGAGCAGCAGTTCAAGGCAAACTGGCTTTCTGCGGCGAAGAAGGTGGACAAGGTGGCTGTACAAAATCTGATGGTAGGGGTCAAGCGTAAGGCCCGGCAATTCGGATTTGGAAAAGCGGAAGCCTAACTGAATATTTTTCCTGAATTTTATACTAATTGAACTTGAAAAAGAAATTTAATTTGATTTTTTAAATAAACGATTTCACCGATTTACACGCGTTTTCCCTTGACCAAATTTTGACCGTATCACCCTTTAGAAGAGAAAAAGTTAGATTTTACAGCAAAACACAAAGCAAGTCAAATCTAACTACGCACCGGAAAACGACGACCAGGAATACGGAATATGTTCGCATCATCGAAGAAATCCGAAAACTTTTCCGCATCCAACGTGGCACTGGAAATCAGTAGTTTCAAATCCAACCGAAACCGCGCAATGTCCTTCACCAATCCAAACAGAATGTCCGTGTGCAACGTACGCTCGTGAGCTTCATCGATAATCATCACACTATACGAAGCTAGGTCCGGTTCCGAAAGAAACTCCCTGTGCAACGTACCATCTGTCATGTATTTAATGACAGTCCGCTCGGATGTGCAATCCTCGAAACGAATACTATAACCAACTTCGTTGCCCAACTTGACGCCCATTTCCTGTGCAACACGTGCCGCCACGGACATCGCTGCCACGCGACGAGGCTGAGTACATCCAATCTTCTTGCCGTCGTTTGTAAACCCAGCTTCATAGAGATACTGTGGAATCTGTGTCGTTTTTCCCGAACCCGTTTCTCCTTCGATAATAAGAATCTGGTGTTCTTTTATAGCGGCTATGAGATCCTCCTTGAATGGAAAAACTGGAAGTGATTTCTTCGTTTCCTCAATGTCCATCTTCTTCCTTTCCGCCTCAGATACCGGTGCTTTCCGGTCCTTTTCTTTAGTTCCATCCAGTCGGAGTGCCTGGACGAAATCAATCTGATCATCCAACAGCAGTTCATACTCTTCAGCACCAGCACCACTTGCGAACCTCTTCGTTTTTGAAAGTAAATTTCACGCACAGTCTGACGTTTGCTTACGGATTTTACCATAGGAGTAAAGAGCTATAGATTCGCCGTCAAGGCCAATAGCATCAACTATATACTTTAAGCTAGTACATATGAGTAGATAGTGTTGCCGTGAGGTACACTCGAAAATTTCAAACGTAAGTGCGTCAAATCAAATTTTGAGCCGCTCCGTCTGTCACTTCGTTTGTGGTACTACCAACAATCAATACGAAACTAACGATTTTAAATTGGCTCACCACTTTAGTAGCCTATTGGTCCCAAGCAAACGATTAACGTACCCTATTCTAGTTGAAATTCTATTACTACACTATGTTTGTTTTGATTCGCTATGAAAGTTTGACAGATAACATCAGGGGTGTGTGGATTCATGCAGAACATGCAGGGGTGAGTGAAATAGCTTGGGACTGCTTGGGACCGTTGTTCTGGTACTGAGTGAGCCAAAAATAATAATGATTTTCTTCGGGACCCAGTGGTCTTAGAGTTATCTCTATGGTGGTACCATAGAGGTAACTCTAAGACTAGAAGGTCCCGAAATAACGTGCTCAACTTTTTGGCTCAGCTCTGGTACTCTCTTCGGTCCCAAGCTAATCGATTCACCCCTCGAAACATAGGAAAAACCAATAACCCCTCATTTTATCTGTCAAACTTTCATAGCGAATCAAAACAAACATTGTGTAGTACTAGAATTTCGACTAGAATGGGGTACGTTAATCGTTTGCTTGGGACCAATAGGCTAGTCAAGTAGTGAGCCAATTTAAAATCGTTAGTTTCGTATTGATTGTTGGCAGTAGTGTGTAAACGTCAAACGCAAAGAAAATAGACAAATATTTAAATTGACCGTTAAATATGTGTTCGATGAGAAACATACGCGTTACGTCTGTTAGTCTGTGGGTATATTATCGCACACTCATTAAGGTGTTTCGCTGTGAGATCCTTATTCTCGTAACCACTTTGAAACCGAGTTCGAAACTTATCAGCTTCCTCGAAACGTACCACATTGAAACTGTTACTTCACGTTTGCTGTACTGCAGCATACATGAAGTATTAATTTCAGATGAAATGGGGCATTAATTTCCGAGATTTGTGTAATTGAAAATTCCAAGTGGTAGTGCATGTATACAGCCGGCCATTTGTGGACTCTACAAGGAATCACCTTAAGCACTCTTATGATATAACGTTACTCGTCCGATTTCTGATTCTGTTATCTGACGGTTTTTGACTTCCAAGATATGTAAAATGACTTTGGAAAATGGATCAGCGCTGAAGAATTAACCGATATTGAGTTATTATTTTCTCAATGCTGTGCATTTTGTTCAACTGTAATTTATTGAAATATTTATTTAAGTATACTACATGTATTTACAAATATTTGCAACTGTGCTCTAGCAAATAAAAACCCCAATGGCATTGATATTTTTTTTAATTACCCAAAGTAGCTAATTACAGAAAGTATGAGACGCCCCCATATAGATTTATAATCTCTTTGAGGTTATCATTGAAAGATATTCTGCTACAATTAAGAAAATATCGACATTTGCAATTCAGAGCAGCAATTGCCAACATGGTCAAACAAAGCAAATCAGTTGCTCCAAAATTCCTATTTATACAGTAAGCTATGTCTGACGTTCTCATGTATTGATAAACACTACGATTAGTACGACTAGTACATCTAGATGTTGAAGGATTCACCGCAGCCACAAGTTCCCTTGATGTTGGGATTGTTGAAAACAAACTCCGCTGACAATTTGGTCTCTACAAAATCCATTTCAGTGCCTGATGAAATAGGGAAATAAGATTGTTTAATTTACGCTAGTTTACGATTGCATAACGCAGTATAATATATACCTAACAGAGAAAGTTGAGCTTTTTTGTCAATCAACACTTTAGCACCATCTTGTACCACTTCTTCGTCTAGTTTATCTGAAATGAAAAATGAACCAATTTAGTAAAAAAGTTTCTAATTGGGTTTTCTTTATTTATTGTTGATTATTGCTACCGCAATCTATTTAATATGTGTACGGAAAAAGTAGACCGGTCTGCTGTGTAAGGAACTCCTAGATGTATGACCTTCTAATATTGTAAATTATGATGAAACCAACTTGTGCGATGACCCGGGGAAAATGAAGGTTTTTTTTCCCTTGATATGTTTTCCGTCGATCTTTTTTCCATGCTGAGCACCAATGCTACCGACGCCAGGGAGGCAGCTCCTACACCTGGACCCTACCTATCGACCCATTAACCCATGAACCGGGGACCAACTTGCAAGAACAACATATCATTATATCATCTAAAGATTTCTTAAATTCCAATAATCCATTTTTTATAGTTAGTGAGTGGAAGCAACCCTGATACGCGATGCTCGATATGGACCAACAAAGGCGTCCACCACCAGAGAAAAACGGACAAAGATCCCAGTACTACCAAGGCAAAGCGTTACTGGGAGCTCAAATATCGTCCCTGAAGATTCTGATCCGGCAGAGATGATCGACGAAACGCCGACTCCAGATAATGATAGAACATACCCTTCTTCTTCTTCTTCTTCTTCGCATTTCAAGCTTATTGCATATCGCATATTAGCTTATTGCGTGCTCTCAACTTAGTGTTCCAGATGCACTTCCACAGTTATTAATTGAGAGCATTCGATGCCTGTACCATTTTTGGATTGGTATAATTGTATGGCAAGTCCAATCATACTTCTATGCCCAGGGAAGTCGAGAAATTTTCCAACCCGGAAAATTCCTAGACCGGGACCGGGAATTGAACCCAGCCACCTCCAGCATGCTTGCTTTGTAGCTGCGCCTTTACCGACTGAGCTAAGGGAGGCAAGTTTTTCACTGAGATCCAGCAAAATAAAATGCCGAGCTGCTCGGTGGCGTCCATCTCGGCAAAAAATCTAAAGGTGTACGAGAAGTGTTGCTTGTATGCAATCTAGAATGACTCCCAGATCTTTTACATTGCTCACACGTTAGATTATTATGCCCCAATAGAGTTAGAATATCGCTTTCACAGAAAAAAAGTTGTTGAATATTACATCCAAACTACTGCAACCAGGTCAATCCATCGGTTGTGTAATATAACGTTGTACGATGTACATCGATTTTGCGAACAAAATTACATCCATTGATGTAATATTGTATCTGCTTTTTGCTATTACATCATTATTTCATACATCAGCTTGAATTACATTGATCGATATTACATTTTTTTTAGCTGTTTTTGATTCCAACAACTACACAGCAAAAAAAAAATGTAATATCGATCAACGTAATTCAAGCTGATGTATGAAATAATGATGTAATAGCAAAAAGCAGATACAATATTACATCAATGGATGTAATTTTGTTCGCAAAATCGATGTACATCGTACAATGTGATATTACACAACCGATGGATTGACCTGGTTGCATCAGTTTCGATGTAATATTCAACAACTTTTTTTGCTGTGTAGTTGAATTTGAGAAGCACACGAAACATAAAGGTGATTGAATTTCTGTTCGATTGCAATACTCTCAAATTTAATCTTGTAAGAATAAGGAATCCTCGGAACAAATCTAATGGGAATGTTCTTCTTCTTGTTTCCTTTATTTAACGTCGGTCTCTTCTTCTTTCCTTTATTTATTGAACGTCGGTCTCTGTTCCGCAATCTAGTGCCAATCACCGACGGACATCGATTGCCATCCATTGACGGCAATCGAATGTGCAGGAAGGCAGCTTCCACACCTGCGTAGGATATCGCACTCATTCAACACACATGGGCCGGGACCAACGGGCTTACTTCCCTTCCGAAGGAAGACGTGACCAGACATTTTTATGCCTCAGATAATGGGAATGTTTGATTGGCTCAGATATTGACAGTTCATTTGGCTCAAAACATTCTATCCGCTTATCTCTCCCCCTGAGTATTTTCAACTAAAAACTTACAACAGTTGTTACTGACTAATATTTGATGCTAGTATTTTGTCTGTTTTGTGTATCTGTGATCTAAACTAGAACGTAAACAACGCTCAACTATGACGAGGAGTTCATTGTGAACAACTTTTACATAAATGAATATTATGTAATTATGAACAGAACATTTAGCAATAAAAAAATACCTTTCGCAGTGGCATAATTAAGCGTGTAACTTAAACCATTGCATCCTCGCTGCCGCACTCCAACTTTAAGACCAACCTGAAAAGTTTGCGTTATTTTATTTACATGGTATAGCAGAATATATGCAAATATTTAAAATACTTACATACTCGGGTTTACCATCTAGAAGTTGTTTTACTCTATTTACAGCTGCTGGTGTCTGAAACGTAGAAGCGTTTATAATATTCGGTATCACCAAAAACATTTTGAAATAATGAAAATAACTCACCAAAGTAAGTGCCGCTCGTGTTGGGAGTAGTTTCCTCTTTACTGCTCTCACCGTTGCAGTGGCAACAACTTTAGATGCCATTGTGATTATTAATTTGCGGTATGAACGAGATTTTCGGAATTTTGTTGGGAGCAACAAGAATTTTGTACCGAATTTTCGCGGCTCTGTTGTTGACGACTTTTTCGATTTCGCAATTTCAGTCATGAGCAGAAGCACAGCTGATTTTGGAAATGTCAAAATGATCCGTTTTCAAGTGTTCCAACAACACCGTATGAAAGAAGGTGATAGCAACAGAGCAGAACATAGAGTTATCTCGTTCTAATGTCATATCGAAATGTCATTTCCATTAAAACTTCGCATTCGCTCGTATCGCTCTGCATTTATCAAAACATACGTGCGAATCGCTGCAAACTGGACGGAAACGTATTAATTCTCATGCTTTATATTTGCGAATTTCATGACAATGTTGATCACTATTTGGTAGAATTTTGCTCAGTGAAGTCCATGACTGTTGGGATTGAAGTTCTGCAGCGAAGTGTGTCCGTGTTGCTTGTGAATTTCTCACTATTGGCGCTCGATAAATAAACGAAAAAAAAAATATATGATGACCTCGGAAGCTGTGGATTGGGATGATAATAATGCGTTCTGCGAGAAGATCATCAACGAGATATACGCTGTATTCCTGCGGGATCCTGAATTGTAAGTAGTGTAGAATCAACTATTGTCACTTAAGTGGTCCTTTGTCCAGCTTTTGTTTACTCTGCTGCATTTCGGAAGATTATTGAGGGGGACATTCGCTGATCAGCGTGTAAAATATAATTACGAATAATGAGCCAAAGTATCCAAGATAGTCTAAGGCAAATGTATCTTCTTGTGTTTATAATAGCAACAAGAGAAGGGTGTCATTGATCCGGAGGTCAATTGCGGAGCTGATTGAGAAAAGGAGAACACATTGAGGCACCGTTGATCGCGTTCAGTGGCGCGCGTGGCAGTGATAGGCTTTGCGTGAAACTTGATATTTCACACTGTTCTTGTTTGCCATGAAGACGAACATAGTTTTATTCCGTCAAGTTTTAAATTAATTGAAAGATTACTTTCACTGTTATCTGAATGTCTAGCTTATTGAAGCTTTCGTTGAAACCATGAAGAGGTCTACTGACATGGAAAAAGACACACCCCACGGAACTGCCAAATTCCAAATTTGCCGCGCTATCGTGCTGCGTGATGGTATTTTTGTAAATTGGCATTAATTTATAATAATTGGATGGTACAATCTAGCTCGTTAAAATTTGCCTGAAGAAGTTTTGCTCGTCACGTCGCACATTTTTAATCAAACAAATTGCCTTATGCTTTGGGTGAACTTCTGTTATTCTGACATAGTCATAATTTTTAAAACTTGGGTTGCTTAAAAAAAATATATATATATGACAGACAGTTGCTTACCGAACAGAATTGTGCCTAATATCTTCATCTGAGCTCTTATACAAATTTTATATTCTCTGTCTTAGAGGTATTCAAATTTGTACTTTGCGGAACACTTAGTGCTCCATCAAGCTTCTACTGTGCTACTAGTGATATGTGGCAAGCAGGAATAAAGATTGCAACCGATAACAGACTCAATATGACGATTTTAGATCAATCATTATTATTGGATAGTTCAGTAAATTCAAGAAAGGTAAACGAACGGATCAATGTGACAGTGAATTAGAATGAAATTAACTTTGGAATAGTTAATGAATTTTGTATAACAGACGGAAAACCAATACCTATTGTGGAATATATATTTTTTAAAGATTCATTTCTAAAAACCGACGAATTTTCTAAAGAAATCCTGAGACGAACATTTTTCTGTGTACGAAATCTATAACACAATTGTTTTTTTTTTATTTCCAAGTCATTAAACCGTAAAAAAAATTAAACTTCTTTAAGCACAGACCCAACACATTTATTGAAATCCAAGATCCAAGATCAAGATTTTTAATTTTTCTTAGTTTAATATCTTGAACATCCACAGTACTAAAATATTCTCTAGGCCCTGGATTTAATTTTATTTAATATTATTTGAAGCCCCAGATTTTTTTTTGCATTTTCGAAATTTATCAAATTCTGAGATCTTGAAATATAATCCGAGTTCCTGGGTTTTGACATTTTTTTTTAGTCCAATAAGAATAAAATCTAATTTTTGACCTACTAAGCACAACCAGCACTTTACCTATTTTTTTTTTCGAACGGGTATTTTTACACAAAATTGAATGTTTCTACTACAGATGAATTCTAAATTTATTTACCTTTCCATATAAAGACTATAGAATTGTAAATTGGTCATATTTCGTTAAACATTCAACACTGTTTCTTGATTTTAATTGGATTCATCATTGGATTCACTTCGTCATACGGATGAAGGCAAAAATAAAATGAACGAATGTTTTCTGCTCGATAGTTCAAAAATAGACGCTTAGGCCAAAATAGTTCTCTCCCCTATTTTTTTTTGTCAAAGTTTGCATTCTTTTTTTTTAATCCTTAGAATCCAAGTAAATTTTCTCTTAGATGCTTTCATTTTTTTTCAAGTGCAGAATCTGATTCCAAGCAGAGCACTAAATGTTGCATTCAAAGTGTTTTTTATGTTACTTCATACGCGAATGTGCGTCTATCTTGAAAACTGTCGCATTAATGGCCCTTCGCTCATTTTCAACTTCTATTCAATTTTCATACTGCCGTACTCTAACGGAACTATCCACCTACCCTCTTCTAAAAAGATCATTCTCTAGCTAATAAATCATCACACTAAAGCTTCATGTTAGCATTTCCAACCAACACTAAATGTTGGCCGATCAATGCTTTGAAACGTATTTGGAACTGCACAACAATTACAATAAAATTTAATCTCTGTTGCACGGAGAACAAATTCGTTAAGTTAAGATAACAATCCTAATAGTTACTTTTACATGGAAAAATATTGTTGTTTGAAAGAAACCTATAGTTATTCCAACATTAATTTGACCATCAACTCAATCATATCTACCTAATAGATTCAACTGTTCATCTTATACTCAATTCAACTATAACTTTGATCAACTACAACAACCGTCAAACGTAATTTAGTTATATAAATTGATTTCAAGTGATCATCATAAATCCACATACTTTTAACTTGTGATGCGTAGAGCAGGCAATACAATTTCGTCTGCTATAATTTGTTCTCCGTGATATCTTAAACAAAATATTAATATACCTATTTGTATTTTATTTTTATTTATCAAGACTAACTATAGGGTTTCTTCCACTCACTTCGCAATAAAAAATGCTACGAAATTATACAATCATTATGTATTATTTTCATATTTTGTAACCCGGCGTAGTGGTCAAGTAACGACAAGTCACGAATGACCCAAGAGCGTTAAAGTGAACTATAATAATAATAATAATAAAATATCAAAAAGAGGTTGTGAAGCATGTGTGACACATAAACCTGTCAATTTCACTTTCAGAGAATCACAATCAGCTCATTCAGAGTATATGGATTGTTTGGTAGTTGGTCTAAAATACCTCAAAAACTGTCTACATGAATTGTGAACAGCCCCTTTACAGTTAGATTAATCATATACGACCAAAGTAAATAGTGTGCAGTGTACCAGCAACTGCCCAATAAATTTTGTTTCAGAAACAAGTAAAAATACCGTGGTTCTCAAAACAAAATTGTTTTAAACATGCATATTACATTCAAATCTACCCTCCTGTGCTGATGTTACCCAAATAATGTGTGTGTATGCCCTCTAACCCCCACTGGCATCAATAACTGCATCTCCACGGTTGTCACGGGAAGGACGTTTTTGTTAGTGGGAAGGGTAAATTAGATCTGGATTCTACAAGAAGGATTGGGTTACAAGAAGCTATTACAATGAAATGAAATTCTCCAAAGTAGTTAACAATGCCTTTCGAACCGGATCAGCCGTACGTCACATTGGTGTAAATATACTTATTACTTTTCTGTTTCGTTCCTTCAATTTATGTTATTAATAATTTTCTAAAGGGTGTACCGTTTCAAATCCGCACACACAAAATTCATTCTCGAAATTCGAGTTTTTATCCGATTATAACCAAATGTTCAGGTAGTAAAAAGAAACAAGTAAAGTTAGTTTTGACGTCATTCATTTAATTTATTTCGTCTTTTTATCCGAATGCGCGAACCTTGGCCTTAACCCTAGCCATAAGGTTCTGGACGACCTCAGAATCGACAGTTTTTTTTGCATATTATGTTTTCTTCATTTCTTCTACATTATTCACAACGTTAGGTCGTTTCAGAAGGTGCTCCTTTATAATGGCCCATTTTTTTTTCTATTGGGCGCAGTTGCGGAGTGTTTTGGGGGTTCAGATCTTTCAGCACGACATCATTCGCCTTATACCACTCTAGCACGTCCTTCGTGTAGTGGCATGATGCCAAATCCGGCCAGAAGATCATCGGACCGTTGTGAGCCTTCAGCAGAGGGAGAAGCTGCTTTTGGAGACACTCTTCCAAATAAACCTCCCGCATAAACAATAACCATAAGATGCGCCTAACCACCAATTCGGGATATCATCCCAATTTTATGTGGTATGGTCGCACCATCTAAGATATCGTCAGTATATGGTACACGTTTATTAGGGCTGTCCATTCATGGTGCTTGCGGTAACGAAAGGTGTACTCCGCTTTCCGCAATTACAAATCGCTTGCCAAATTAAGAACTTCTTGGCGAACTTCGACATCTTCTGTGTCCGGAGGTTTTTGGGAACATCACACTTATCCTTGGCAGTCACATACAGGTTTCCGGGAATTTGGTTGAAGTCCGCCTTCACATATGTCTCGTCATCCATTGCGCAGCAGTGTGGTTTCGTTAACTTCTGGTCGTACAACTTCCGGGCACGGCTTTTTGCGACCGTATTCTGTTTCTCGTCACCGTTTGAGGACTTTTGAACCTTAAACGTACGTAGTTCAGCTCGAGTTTTGGTATTCTGCACGAAATTCTTGCTCACATGCAACTTTTTAGCCACATTTCGAACTGAGGCCCCAACCACGCGTTTGTGACGAGACTCGGTGAGTAAAGCCACTTTTATTAAAAACGGGTTAAATTTTACTCATAAAAGGGTATTTGACTGTTATCGTGCAAGCGTAGGGTTTGTTTTCGTTTTGTTGTTTATTTTTACTTTAGAATGACAGTTCTTACAGCAAACAAAAAATTTCTCACAGCTAACAAAATATTTCATCTCACTAACACACGCAAATCTCACCAATACGAACCCGCCTGGAGAGGCCTATTAAGTTTATGTTTTTTTTTAAATTGTAAAAAGCGTTTGGTGAGAACCATGTTAATTTGATCCTCCAATCCATGGGTTCCGTAGTTTTGTTTTTCTCTACAATTCACATCTCATTTCGTGATTCACCTTTGTCGTAATACCAACTAACGATTAAAAATTGGTTCACTACTTGACTAGCCTATTGGTCCCAAGCAAATCGATTAACGTACTGTACCCCAGACCAGAAGGTCCCGAAGAAACGAGCTCAACTTTTTGGCTCAGCTCTGGAACTATCTTCGGTCCCAAGCTAATCGATTCACCCCCTTCCTTCAACGAACACAAATTTTCTAGCATTGGCATGATCATCTGGGAGGAGTTTCGCGTTTAGTGCTTTCTCCAGGAACTGTTCGCTGCCACCAGCTATCACT